AGGAGATATTAACCTGCACACCTGAGTGATAATGATTTTTGGTGCCACTCCGAATGCTCGGTGAATACTGATGAAATGCCAGCGTCGGAGGGGGGGCTTCACATTTGTGCAACATTTCCACCAGTAGGAGACCGTGTGAGTGAGTGGCTGGTATATATTTCTCTGTGTGACATTTACATTTCCACCACACGGCAGAAAACAAGGAGCAGGAACCGGCTGTGAGCGCTGACATACGGCGCTGTGAGCTGTTTGAGCCACGGGAGCTGAAAGTTGGTCGAGACGAGGCTGAAGGCCGAGGCTGCAGCGTTGGATCTGAGTTAGACCGGTTTCCTTTTTTTTCTGTACAACATTCACAGATAATACTACAAAAATAACTATATACTGCAGTAACATGACCTCTGCACGTACCAAAGCACCAATGAACCAGAACTAAGAAGTCATCAGAATGGGTTTATTGTTTTGGATGAGGGTCCAAAAGAGGGGAGTGGGGGGTGCTCATTGGTCAGCCCAATGGATAACCTTCATCTGAGTTAAACAAAAAAAATCTGAAGCTCCCATGTTGAGTAGTTTTTGAGTTATAAGCATTTTTGTAAGTTCAGATACCCCCTTTCAGATGGAGCCCCCTGCTTAAAATATGGGGTCTATTGTAAAACCGTTGGCTGGTGCAGTGTAGATCGGACTCTTCTACATTCCTACCAAATTTCATGTTGATTGTGTAGCCGTTTTTGTGATACGGTTGACCAAAAATGTTCAAATAAATAAATAAATAAATAAAAATATAAGAAATAATAAATAAATTTGACCCCCACTTCGCGTGCGGTAAGTCATAATAAGCTGTTTGAATCATGCTTGAATCAGCAGAAGTGTCTGCTAATCACCACGGGTGTCAGAAAATATCGATACAGTGAAAGTTTTATTTCTGCATCGATTTTCAAAAACATTGAATGGATTTTTAGTTGAGGCTTAATGGATGGATGGATGAAGAAATATGTGGTTGTGAGGACAAAATGTGTTCTGGACGGGTTCTTCTCTAATGAAACGTTTCGTCTCTTCTCCAAGAGACTTCTTCAGTCTGAGAGCTTCAGGCAAAATTCAGGCTTTTAAGCACTGCCTCCATGTGACTGATACTGTTCAAAAGAATGTCCCAACACAGACGAGCTACGTCTAATGGCCAGAACTCTGCAGTTTTCACTCATTTACAGGCCAGCGGTCACTCTTTCAGAGATGAGGATGTTCTCATTCTTGATAGAGAGGAACGTTGGTTTGAGAGAGGAGTAAAAGAAGCCATTTTTGTGAAGAAAGACCGTCCATCATTAAACAGAGGTGGAGGCCTCCGTTTTCAGTTGTCCCCCTCCTACAGCGCTGCTATTGCCAGTATCACTCCACCCCTGTTAACAATAAGTGTTAATTAGGTGTGAACGATAGCCATGTGATGTGAGTATCAGTCACATGGAGGCAGGGCTTAAAAGCCTGAATTTTGCCTGAAACTCTCAGACTGAAGAAGTCTCTTGGAGGAGAGACGAAACGTTTCATTAGAGAAGAACCCGTCCAGAAGACCTATACAATTTTTTTTTCTTTTTGATTTTTTACCTGGATTACTGAGATGCATCAGGACACAAAATGTGTTTAATCTTCAAAGAAAGTTTATATAAAAAGTATGATGAAATGCAGTTCTTGTTCAGAGTTTTGATTGCATAAAACAGACTATAATCAGACTATGTATGTAATACATGCTGTGTTCTTTATACTTATTTATATATTAGCTTTTTTATTAGAATTCTTTCAAGAAAAAATGGCGATATATCGCCTTGCTCACAGTATTGCGATATATTGTGATATCGCGAAATGTTTCGTATCACCAAACCTTTAAATAAAAAAATTAACATTGGATCCAATGACTGGATTTTTGGGTGGCAAACCACGTTTATATATTTTCAGTCTTCTCCATCTGGCAGTAACAGCAACAACACTCAAACATTAAAAAAAAACATAAAAGTCTCACGTCTACATTAATGTTTTTATTTTTTAACTTGCTGCAAAGTTTCTCTGAGACTGAGTGACACTGACTAAATTTACAAAATATTACTTATATTTTAAAGCATCGTTTGCAGTTTTCAGCTTCTGCACATTCGCTTCCTGTTTTAAAGAAAACATTCAGACACAGTGGAAGTCTGAGGGTTTGGATGAGCGTATACGCTCTGCAGGGATTTGAGAGAAAACAAGAAATCTTACAAAAAAAAGACAAACGGGACTAAAGAAGAGAAAAATGTCTGTATTATGATGTACAAACGGTAAAAGTGAAGTGATAGAAATAAAAATACAACAACTGCAATGGTTTAGGAAAAAATAGACAGCATAAATATTAGTGTGACATACTATGGTAAAACCTGTAAAAACTGGAAATACAGTATGTAAAAACCATTTAGGAAGTATTCAAATGCTATGGATAACTAACTTTCTGTGACCCGTTTAAACATTAAATTAGGTTTTAACTCTTACAAACTCCAAAAAAGGTTCTTTTTTTTTTGCTTCATTTTGCCAAAATCTTGTTTTTTCACTGTCGTTTTGCAAATATCGCCGTTACAAGATGAGACGGAACCAGAAGAACCAGCGAGCAGAACTCGATGCCGTTCATTGGTACCGTCAATAAAAAAGAGCACAAGTGTAAAACCTCTACACCACTTTATCTGCACGATACAGAATCATCTGACAGATTCCCTTTTTTGAAAGCTCCCCTCAGAAAAAGTCTGGTCGACTCAGAGGTCAAACGTACATCTTTTGCAAAAATGTGCCGACTGGATTCTTACAGCCTTAAACTCCTACTTTGCTTGGAAAGGTCCCGGCTTTTTGCAGCTTATACTGAAGATAAAGAAATGAAAAGACAAATGTCCAACATGTTTTCTGTTACCCTTGGCAAGAAAAGAGAGAAAGAGTGGGCTGATGGGAAGTTTCTAGTCCTCATAGCAAACCTGCCAAAGGACAGAAATATATATTTTTTTATTTTAGCATTGCTCTCAAAACCAGCTGATTCTGGGCAGCAAAAAATATTTGTATTATGATCTGAGCTGACAGAAGAGAGGTCGCTGTGAGGAAAAATGTGAGAAAAAGTCCAAATATTTTCCTCGTAAATCACCCAGAAACTGGATGGTTTGTCGATTTTTTTTCAAACCTGTCTTATAACGCATGAAAATCCAACTATACCTGCAAAACACATGAAGTAATAAAATCCTTAAACTTCGACTCTCATGTGAATGTTGGTTTTAATCCTATTTATACTATTTACTGCTATTTTAACCAGGAAATCCCAGAAGAAGAGCTGGTATCTCAGGTTAAATTAAACAAAATAAACAGAAATTATTTGTATGATAATAAAAAGAAGAAGACAAGAAGACAAGCCTGTCTGTGTTACTAAAGGAGCCGATGTTCAGGAAGAATAAATGAGCTTTGGATTTTAATCAGGGAAACTAACATAAACTATTCCCCAAACAGAGTCATTTCATGTGAACTGGTTACCCTTCTTTCATAAATACTTATTTTCATGTAAAATACTCTAAAAGATCTGGTTATTCACACAAATAGCACATTTAAAAAGTAAAATGATGCACTTTTTGAGTGAAAATTGAGATTTTTACAAAACTGTTTTGTCAAATTGAGGATTCCAACACTCCAGGCCTTTTTCTATCAGAGTGCTAAACAAACACAAAGTTTGGAGAGTTGACTTCACACATGTCTTCCACTGGATCTGTAATGAGTATAAGCAGAAACAAAACAACTCCAGGCACTTTACTTGACCGTGTTCACATCAAATGTCAACATCCAGCAAAAGATGTCGCCAATTATGTCACCCAAAAAAAAGTTAAAAAGTGCAGTTTAGAGAGGATCTCCAGGAACTTGAAAGCGTTCAAAACAAGATAATAAGAGCTGTGTCGTGGTCCGAGTATAATGCCCCCATCTCATCTTTTCCATCGTTTTGGTCTCCTTCGGCTAACAGAATTACACCAAAACGCTTGTATATGTTCCAAATTATAAACAAAACTAATAACAGGTTGACTGAGCTCGTTCCGGTCAGTGGTCCACAGCAAACTTGTAAAACCAGAAGAAAAAAAACATTTTCACCTATGCTAAAAAAGAAGAAGACTCGAACTTTGAAGGGGCCCACAGTGTTGGAACGAGCTCGACGAGAGTTTAAAAAGGGTCAAAATTCATCTCCACCTTAAAAAAACTGTTTGGATCTATAACTGATTGACAATATGTACAAGGAATGCATGATGTGTTTTGTTGTGTTGTTACCTTAAGTATACTAAAACTGTATGAAATTATATGTGCTCAGGCTCCCTTTATAAGCTTTCAATAGTTTTTAGAGACCTGATTCACAGTTATCATGTAGCTATGCTATGTGAACATTTTGTGTGAATAGACAGGGGAAAAAAGGATCGTCATGCTCAAAATATGATTTTGCTGTATTTTATCCTTTAAAAGCCCCTGAAATTGCAAAGTACTGATTGGCATTTCAGCATTTGTTGGAATTTCTGCAACATTTTTTTAAAAAATGGTTCAAAAAATAAATAAATAACTCGAGGTCTTAGTTCCTTTGTGTTTTCTGTCATCTTTGAGGACAAATAGGTGGTAATGATTCTTTTTCCTGCCCGGTACTTAAGAAAATCCTTTTCAGCATGAATCACCGAGGACTGCCAAAGCACATTTAAATGATCTATGCTTTAAAGCGGGTCCTGTTTTTTTTCCCCTTCTCTTCTTTGCTATTCATGGACATTATGTAAAATCCTCCAGACCAAAAAACAGACAAGAAAAAACAAGTCTGATTTTCCTCCCAGAAACTTCACTTTCCTAATATTTTCTCATGTGTGACTGAGTTTTGTACATTTTGTTTGACAGACATGTTAACTATTAGTGCTGGGCTTGGTAGAAAAAAAAAAAAAGKGTTTTTTGTCCGTCAAAACCACCAACCCACCCACTCCCACCAACCCCTTCAGCTTACTTACCATCCTCCGTGGGCACGTAGACGTTGAGGTAAAGGCAGTCCTCGCTCTGGTTCTGGATGTATCCCGCCGCCACGTCCAGGTTGTCCGTGAACCAGACGGGCAGCATGATCTCGGGCAGCACCCCGTGGACGTTCTGAGGGCAGACGGGGGCGAACTGGGTGGCGTTGCGGATCTCCTGCCAGGATCCCGGCGCTTCGGGCGGCTGAAAGCGGCGGTCCCCGATGGGCGCCGTGGCGTACGGCACTCCCAGGTACTGCTCCACTGGGCCCAGGATCTCGTTGTTCAGGTCCTTCTTGATGCCGCGGAGCTTCCCGTAGTTGGTGCTGACGATGGGGTGCTTGGACGGATCCATCCTTTGGCACGAGGCCAGGCTAATAAACAAGATGAGGCCTAGAACACTCATGAGGCACCAGTCTGTCACAAAACTGAAAGAGCGTGTCCTGGACAACAAAACCTGCCGGCTTTGTTTTCTTAGAGTCAAGGGTTGGGGGTCCGTGGCTGAGGTCATGCTGCTCAGCCTCTTGTTTGTTCTTTCTGAAACAATGAGGTCCAACAACCAGGAAAATACAGCATAACAAGATAAAACCACAAATCAGGTGGACTGTTGGTGGTCAAGACCAGAAAGAAGGTAAAACGGGAACAGTTGGGTTGTTGGGATTTCGGAAAAAAGGGGGTCGGGTCTTGATTTGGAGACCAGGTCAATGATGAACCCAATCAACAGCGATCCAAAACTCTTTCCTAACCACGATTCTGTTGCGTTCCATTCTGATCCGTCTTCTCTTATCCAGATAATTGGATTGATGACAAACTCTGCAGGAAGAGACAGAGGAGGAGGAGGGGCGAGAGATGAAGAAGAGGGGAGGGAAAAAAAGAAAGATGAGCGAGGTTAAAACACAACTGAAACACAAATCCACTCTGTTCCCTTTAACTGCTGCCAAGTTTAAAAAACGGAGAAAGAATAAAGATGAAAACCGTGAAATGAGGAGACTTTCTAAATCTAGACACGGCGTTAAGGCAGATCAAGCTAACAGGGTTCATTTTGGGAACACTTTACGTGGTAATCAACATGTTTCACTTCACAAGAGGAAAAACACATTATCTCAGTTTGTAAGAGAAGAAAAGAAACTCACACATTGTACAATTCACATGAGCACATTTTACATCATATTATGCTAAGAAACCAGAAACTGGATGTGACAACTGTCGGTCTGAGGACCAAATCTCTCCTAGTACCTGTACCTTACTTGAATTAGCATCCTTCTAGAAGGCGACCTATGACCTACTTTGATCAAAGGTTTTTTATTGCCAGTGACCAATGTGGGCACAACTCCTATATTTGTTTCACCTGGAATTAGCTAACTCCCATCCAAGTACTAGGCCCGACACTGCTTAGCTTCCAATTAGTACTTTAGGGGTCTAAAAATATATTTTCCAAGCCTTTGTCAGAGTATAGCTGATTTACTCTGTAGAATAATCACTGGCTCCTTGGGTTCATGTAGGTAACTTGTTCTGCTTTGTTACTACATTAGGTGTTACATGGTGCAGAGGATGTTTCACAATAAAAGCCTTCATAGCCTTCTGTTATCTTGTTTTATTAATTCCAAGAATTTAGTAAAATGCTCTTCAAATGTATGGGAAATGTATAGTTTGTTAGATTTTTAACCATTTTTTTTTGTCAAGGAATAAACCGTGGACAACCTGGTTTCTAAAGACAAAAAATAAAATCAAAGACTAAATTATTTAGTTTGGTTTGTGATTGGATGTAAATTGGTGACATTGGGAACATTGCACCAGGGGCACCACCTGAAATCCTGCCATGGGCAGGGCATTGGTTAGGGCCGGCCTTGCCGTAGAGATAACATACTCCCCTGGCGGTTGGAGCAAGGTCGCTTCTCAAGTCTTCATCGAACAAAACTGCTACCGATCCCTCCATCTTTATTCATTGCCTGAAGGCTTTGTGGTCTATCCTTACAGACAGAAGTACAGTAGACAACGAGAGTGGGTTGAAGAGTAGAGCCCGGAGATTAGAGCAAGCCTTTCACTGCCCAGTAAGGTCAAAGGTCAATAATGTGTAAGCAGCTTATAACGGGCTGCGTCGTTTTCTGGTTACATGCAGAACACATGGACGAACACACACACGCACACACACACACACACACACTGGCTCTGTAAGCCCTCACTGACCCACACATGAATGAGAACCCACAAACAGTATACTCATTGATGTAATCTGATGCGGAAATGTGAAAATCCCTCATGTAACGGACCCAGAGTCAATAAACGCACGAGGAACGGACCAGATTATATAATCTAATGCTGTGTTTTGGTCCACAATACTCAGTACTGAGCAAAAGTTTTAATTTGTCCCTAACAATCTGTTCTTTCCCTCCAGTTTTGTCTCGTCAAACTCTGCTCTCTTTACTGTTTTTCATGGATTCAGTGCCCAGTTTTCCCCTTACAAGTTTGGACGAGGTACATGTGCACAAAACAAAAGTGAACAAGTAGTGATATACCGAAAGCTGTACCAGACCACCCAGCAGTATGATGCTTAAGATGTAAGCTAATGTTAGCTTATTATTTGTTAGCTTGCTGTGGTTGTTGTGTACTCGTAAGGAATAAAAACTTTACAGTGGCTGCAAACGACTTGTTGTTACTCTCATCTGTGTGACATAACACACATACACATTTGTTTTTCTATCCCCGTGGGGACCTTGCATTGACTTCCATTAATTTTTCAGTCATTTCTATAGCCTAACCCTGACCCTTTACCCAATAAATACCAACCCAGTACATACCTGACCCTAAATGTAGCCTAAACTCAATTCAAACCATGGTCCTAAACCTAAACCCACACTCGAAATCAGCATCCATTTTCATAGGGACAAGTCATTGGTCCCCGAGGCTGTTTTTCAGGAAAATGGTCCCCACTGTGTAGCAAAAACATGTCCACACACACCCCCCCAATCAGTGAACCAATCAATGAGCGTCAAAATCAGATTCATCTACCTTCAATTCAATTCCAGCTTTAGCCACGCCCACTCTCACCTGAGCCTCACTGTCATCCCCCCAGATGTTTACTGAGGTGGGTGGAGTACCCAAAAACTATACTCAAGAGTAGAACTATTTCAACATGTTTTTACTCAAGTAAGAGTTAAACAGTATTTAGTAAAAAGTCTACTCAAGTACTGAGTAATTGATCAAGACATCAATCCGGTAATATTTAAAAATTACATCATCAGATGGATCAAAATACAAGGCTATGTAGAAATTATGGTATTTTAAAGATCAAAATTTAAAATAATTCATATAAATAATAAATTCAGGCAAAATAAACATTTTTCCAAATCAGTTTCTTTTAAAATAAAATTTAGGAAACAAACAAAAACTGCAGGTGTTTGTGTATCTGGTGAAGTTTTGGTGAAAACCAGCTTGATCTTCATTCAGTAAAGTTACTCACAGTGGGTAGAGTATACAGAAACTTTACTCAAGTAAGAGCAGCAATACTTCATAATAAAATTACTCAAGTAAAAGTAAAAAGTACAGCAGAGCAAAAGTACTGCTAAGAGTACATTTTTTCAAAAATGTTACTCAAGTAAATGTAACTAATACTGAGCTCTGAATCCTTTTCAGTCCATTTGTGTCTCTTTAAATACTTTTTCTTTAGTATGTAAATCTTTTGTGTTTGTTTCCTTCGAGTTTTGGCTTGAAATCATCTTCACAGCCTCGTCATTCTTTCACTTAGTGTTTAATGAACTAGTTTATTAATTTTTACCTTTGAGTTTCCCTGAGTCTTGGTTCTGCATTTGGCTTTGGATTTACCCCCCAAAATGACAGAGCGGACATTAAGAACCTGCAAGAATCACCACCAAGTGAGGGCCGCATCGCCTGATTCAAAGGTAGGAAGTCAGGTTCTGCAATTTTACCTCATTTCTAAACAAACGTCTGACAGAGCAGCTCCAGGAGACGATGAGTGGATGGAAATTAGAGATGAGCAGTGGTGGGCAGCGCTAATCCAAAAATTAGCTCCGTAATTTCTAAAGCACTTATGAAAATATTTAGGTCCGCAACTTCAAAAGCGCTAACGCCATAGAAAAACTAGCGGAAGCTAATTTTAAAGAGCAAGTTCAATTTGACACGTACTAGCCGGCAACAATTCATGTACAATATATGTACAACACTGCCAGCTAGTGGTGTATGAACCCTTTTACAGCTTAATATTACAACAGCTGATTGCTGGGGATCTGATTTCCTGTAACAGACCTTTAGCTCCTGGTGTAAAACTTAAAAAGTTGTTGAGGATTGCTAGTTTGGCTGATTATTTAAAAGGTTGTTGAGGATTGCTAGTTCGGCTGCTTCTTTAAAAAGTTGTTGAGGATTGCTAGTTTGGCTGATTATTTAAAAGGTTGTTGAGGATTGCTAGTTCGGCTGCTTCTTTGACTTTTTCTTTTGTTTGTTGTAGATTTTTCATTAAAGAAGCATCAGTAAAGTAATTTTAAAACTGTTTATTGGAAAACTGAAGCGATGCATTCTGGGTACATGACAGATTTGATTTGTGACGGGAAACGAAAACACGGAGTACAGGAAACTATCTTCCCTTCAAAATAAGAGCATGGATTTTAAAGTTTTCCATGTAGTTGCTCCAGCTGACCACTAGATGTCTGTCTTTGTCAGCATAACAGCTTTAAATAATTTCTGTGTCTCTAACCCCGTTGCTTCGACCAGTTACTTCAAGTATTGAGCTCCAGTCTTTAAACTTTATTTTTTTAACAAAAGGAGCTCCGATTGTAAAGTAAAATAAATCAATACATACAAAATTTTAGTATGGATTACAAACGTTAACTGTTTTTGCTATTGTCTTCCTGTTACGTAAGCAGACACAAAGCATTGTGGGAAATGAGAACCGTGGCTGAAAGCAACAGTCAACAAGGATATATACCTTCCCAATAAGTGTGTTTATCTGGGAGGGGTGCTGTTGTATAGATCATGTGTGCTGTGATTCATTGACAGCCATATCTTCAGCTGTTCAAGATAATGATGACTGGTAGATAATTAGTTATTAGCTGTACTGCATTTTAATTTTAGAAATCTCAAATCCACTTACGAATTATAAAAATTAGTAAGACCGCTAAAGCGCAAATGAAATATTTAGGTGCGCAATTAGCGGATTTGCGCTTTAGCGGGCTGGTGCCCACCACTGGTGATGAGACAGCAAAAAGATCTCATCTCCTCTGTACTGAAAGCGTACCAAATCATAGCTTTAAAGCCGATGAACGTGTCAAATGGTGATTTCTGTGCAACGTCACATCCCTCACAAACACCAGAACACAAAGAAATAATCGTCTTTTTATCCACCGCTGCACATTCCTTTCCAGACTGACGCCATAATTATTCATTTCAGCGCCATAATTAGAGTTATTGCCTCATGTACGTCTATTGAAGCACTTCTGTGTTTTTACCGTTGCCCCCCCCCCCCACACACACACACACACACACACACACACACACACGTTTGCACAGCTATC